ATGATCTGGGGAACTGTAAAGTGCCTTGAGATGAAGTGAATTGGCGCTATAGAAATAAACTGAAGTGAATTAAACCAGAAGTTATTGGGATCAAACTGTGAAATAAATCCAGCTGGAAGGTTTAAATCAGTCCCAGACCTCAGGTCGTCCTTCTCGTGGTAGATGTTGTTCTGAAAGCTGGACATGCGCAGCAGATCGCTGCCTCTGGGATGCCTCCAGCACCAGCGCTGCAAGACAAATAAATAAAAAAAAAAAACCAAGCGTGGATGATAACCCTACATTTAAAAACAAAAATCCCGTCTCTCTTGTATTCCATGACATTTACAATATATTGAATTTAAAAAAATATTACACCACTGCATTCTAGCAGTTTATTATGCCAGCTGTATTAATTACTGATGAAGAAATACAAATGTTTTCTTATACATTATTGATATAACAAAACAGGAACCTGTAGATATAAGACATATATATATATATAAGATATAAAACTATCATTAAAAGACAGGGTATCTCACTCTGACATACCCAGGGGTTATATACATAATGTGGACACACTGTATATACTGTATATACCCCCATGCAACTTTTTCTCCTTTTAGCACCTTCCTTCTTTTTGACTATTGAGTCGATCTAAGGAGTAAATTTGTCAACTCTGAGATCAATAATGATGTTTTAGTGTGTAATTTGTTCTGTTGTTTCTTGTGTACAGTCACTGTGTTTTGTGTAAAAGCCTAACTGGGGTCAGGCACTGAGAATTAGCCTTAGCTAAAATGTTGTACTGTGTGACATGATTCATGAAACATACTTGTCCCTATCAAATAAACCAATAAAATAAAAAAATAAAGTCAATCAATCAATCAATCTGACACACTAACAGGGTTAATAGTTACTCCATTTCACCAAAGTGGATGCTAACTGTTATATAGCTCTCTGTTTTAGCACATCCGCTATGCTAACTGCTAGCATGTCTTGTTCTTTCATATTATAAATATTTGTTTCATCTCCTCCCGTTTCCTATCAAATCCTCATCTTCTGAGAACGGCAGAGAAGTTACGTTGCTTCGTTGTGCAGCGCGGCTAAAGAGGAGCTATTTAGGGAAGAAATGTTAATCCACTGCAAAAACAATCTAAAAATGAGTAAAAATGTCTTAAATTAAGTGTATTTACCCTTAATTTGAGTAGATAAATAAGATGATTTACCAATGGAATGGATATTTTTACTCTTTAAATAAGATAATTAGATAAAATGCTTTTGAAATAAGACAATGCAATTGTATTTTCTTGTTTTAAATGTAAATTGTCTTGTTCCATTGGCAAAACGTGTCTTTTATCTCCTCAATTCAAGAACAAATGCACTAATTTTAAGAAGAAATTACTTATCTAGATTTTGTTTTTTTTCCAGTGTTCAGTGTTTTTTTTTTACAAATAGAACCACATAAATTTCATTTTTCAACAGTGGAAGTAATAATGGACTGGATCCGTTTGTGGTTCCCATCTAGCTGCCTCGGCTCTGGCATCCTGCAAATACTACTGGGGATTAACTTAAAGAAATAGTACACCCAAAACATGATTAGCCTTCATTTTCTACTCATTCCCATGCTGAACAACACT